GATTTTATTACCAATCGTCAATGGCCAATAGTTCGGAAAAGCAGTGACGTTGTTCCTGTTTTCAGGAAGGAAAGTATGACGGATAAGACCTGCTATCGTCCAGTTTCTGTTCTGACTTCCTTATCGAAATTATATGAGAAGGTATTGTTCGATCAAATCTATGAAGCCTTTTATTGGCGACTCTCACCGAATCTGTCTGGCTTTCTCAAGGGTCACTCGTGTTGCACGGCCTTATTGAAATTTACGGAAGATTGGAGAGCCTGTCTTGACAGAAGAGAAGCTGTTGCAGCGGTGGCTATCGATGTAAGTAAAGCTTTTGACTCTGTTTGTCACCCGCTTCTCCTAGCTAAATTAAAGGCATATGGTTCTACGCATGACGCGCTGGAAATTATGACCGCTTACCTTACTAGACGGAGACAGAGAGTCAAACTTGAGGTGTATATTCTTCGTGGAGAACCGTTGAAACTGGTGTACCACAGGGGTCCCTGTTGGGTCCACTCTTATTTCATTTGTATGTTAATGATCTTAATTATTTTATTACTAATACGTCCTTGAGGCTAGACGCTGACGACACTACTCATTACGTCTCTGATGTCTCACCAACAGTCTCGCAGTATATAATTAACTCTGATCTGAGCGTTCTATCGAGATGGTTCTCAATGAATTTTTTACAGACTAATGCCGCCAAAACACAAGCTATCGCTATTGGCCCGTCTTCAAACAAGTATGATTTCCATCTTAATGATTGTAATGTCCATACGAAGGACACACTCAAAATCCTTGGGGTGGTCCTAGACAGCAAATTAACATTTAAAGCGCACATAAAGCAACATCTACATAAGGGATGCGCAAAGACTTCGGCTTTGCGGAGAATACGTAAGTTTATTTCAAAGGACGTGTTAGTTTGTTTATATAAGGCCTATGTTCTCCCTCATCTTGACTACTGCAGTCCCCTTTTGCTGGGAGTAGGTAACGCGGAGACTACTAAAATAGAGACAAGTAATTACTTTATATTAAGAACTATATTAGGCTTCTCGAGGTCTGTGTTATACGACTTCCGCCTCAAGTTGGCCGACATTAAGTCCTTGGAGAATCGTAGGCAATTCCAATCGTTAGTTATGTTATATAAGCGCTTGTATGATAAGGGGATTACTTATATAAGTGATTTTTTTAATTTTAGAAATGAACCGTATAGTTTACGTGGGCTCAGTACCAGGCGAGATTTACCTCCTTTTAATCTTGAGTTTTCACATCGGTCTTTTTCATCTTTAGCTAGTAAACTTTGGAATGCGCTACCCCCTAAACTCAGAGAATCTCAAGATATTGTTTCATTCAAGCGTTCTCTTAAAGCCCACATGGCTTAGCGGTAGTGATTGTAAATATCGTTATTGTTAATATTGTTAATATTGTAATTTTATGTTGATAGCTCTTGTCTATGATCTTCGATCCTTTTTTTTAGTTAGTTAATAGATCTACTTAAAATTTGTATTCTTACAGAAATGATGTTTTATTTATTAATTGTACATACACGTACACGTTTTAACGAGAACTTCTGTACTCCTAGCTGTCACGTGTTTAGATAAAGGATTGATTGATTGATTGAGGCAACTCAAGGAAACTTTAGGCAACTTAAGGTCCCACAGTAGGCCTTAGGCTAGAGATCGATTGTGAACATTTTCCCGTCCGACGGTCACCCAGGAGCCGAGAGAAGCTTTCTGTTTGAATTTCCTCCGAAATGCTGTGTAGGAGGGCTTCTTTAGAATCGCTGCTCGTTTCCTTGGTAAATCACAAAGCTGTCTTTTGGCCATTCAATGCTTTTAAAATGATCTAGTCAGCCATATAATACGGTGCCTTTTCATCGTGCAGGACGACCTTTTATCGATGGCTTCATTGTCGCAATCGCAAAAGCCGGTTCTCGATCAAGATTGCAAACATTTAGCCCAACAATATTATACATACAGAAGGCTTTCCTTTTCTGCAATACAAAAAATACTGAGAAAGGCCACCACTCCCACAATGCATCTTTGTTGAGTGAGGCCCTTTAAGAGAAAAGACAAACACTTTCCTCTTGTTCCTTCATTTGAAATGTTGATAACGTACATTGCTCAGAGTGAAGTATCCAAAAAACTGACGCGATCTTAACTAAAACACTTTTTTCAATTGGTTTTCCAATTGGTTTTTCAATTCTAAGTGCTTCAATAAAATCATTTGCAAGCAGAGATTGAGCCGGAAGGTTTCCTTTTTGATACATGGAGAATAAATGAAAGGGATGGGGAGACAAACAACAGGGCTTGCAAAAAAAAGGCAGATTTTCCAACAGTGGCTGCGTTGATGCCAGCAGTTTTACTGATTTCTTTTGCGTTCAAGCACGTGCTGTTTCTGGTCACCTCAAGGTCCTGACTATTTCAAGAACTTTGAGTAGAAGAACGTGTTAAGCCCGGTAAACAATGTGACCTTTACGATCTTTCTTCCTTAGTCACATTCTGACACCCTTCGCCTCCTTTGGCAGGTATGTCCAGTTCTTAATATATGTTAATTCTTGACCGAGCATCTGGTTAAGGTATAAGATATTGGTCAAAAAACTAAGGAAACATGCTCTACATCACGTAAAAGCCTTTCATGTCCATGACAGTTATTATGCACGAAAGAAAAAACTGCTTTAAGCACAAGGAAACCTCGACTGACTAAGTCGTGATTAGTTCAGGTTTTGAATCTGATTGGTTTAGAATGTGGTGCTAGCTTTCTGGACCAATCACGGTGCCAAGTGAAGTAAAGCAAAACCAAAGCAATCTCGACTTACTTTGCACACTCCATTGAAAATTGTTTTAGGGTCATATTTTTGACTCCCCGTCAGTGCACAAAAAAATATTTATGGAACAATTATACCCCAAAGACTTTTCGTTGTTTCAAGTTGTTCATAATTACCATAAAAGGCTGATAGTTTCCAAAGAAACTGTTTGAGGCTGCGTCGGTGGGAGTAACGAAATAATTTGGATATATCAACAAAGTTGAAATGGTAAATTGGCCACCGTAACGACTACAAAAGCTGACGTCTCGGGCGTTAGTCCTTCGTCGGAGCGTTAGCCCTTCGTCGTTCTTCGTCGAGCGTTAACCATGACGGTCTAACGCTCGACGAAGGGCTAACGCTCGACGAAGAACGACGAAGGGCTAACGCTCCGACGAAGGGCTAACGCCCGAAACGTCAGCTTCTGTAGTCGTTACGGTGGCCGATTTACCATTTCAACTTTGTTGATATATCCATAATTCACATTGTTCACTGTGAAAAAAAAAAATTAAGTTACTATTGGGACCAGCAGTCTTCCTAGGAGGAATTAAGACATTTAAAGAGTTTCAAAGGCAAGCAAACTGTACTTTTGAAAAATTTAAATATAACTTGTTTGTCAACTTCAACTGACTTTATGTCCTTCTACAGCAAAACCCCACTAACTCGAACAAGAACTGATTTCAATTGGATTTGACCCCATTTGTTTAGTAATTTACTATCATTTACTATAATATAAACGAACTTGGTTTAATTTTAACTCTCTGTTTACTCGAGCTAGTTTCTGTGCTTTCCCTTAGCTTACATTTACCTTCATGCCTCGAACCTAACTCGAAACATCAGTCGATAACGTCAAAGTGTCAGAACATAGCTGATCGACACGGCAACCTTTATGAAACTGCAACAATGCGAAATCTGTTGCTTGGAAATAGACTACTCCATATCTGGTAGTTAAATACAATTCACTTTCAATTCCCGCTTAACTGACGTGGGTTGAAACTGGATTAACAAACAATTACAATAATTACACAACATACGATATAAAGAAATAACGAATAACACGACGGAAAGAGAACTATTAATAAGATATTTTTGTTGTTACGGCCACAAAAAAACCCAAGATAACTGACGTTAAAGTATTAAAGACTTTACTAAACTGCGCGAGAAAACAGACAGTACATCGATAAATTATGCAAGCAGCAACAAGGTGGAAACAAAGCGGCAACAAGAATGACGAAGAAAGGCGAGAATGAAACAGCAAGTATTAACGTTGGCTAGTTAGAGTGCAAAGACTTAGATGACTGAGTATGCAGATTGTTTCGTTTAGCAAATAGGCGTGGCGTTTTGACGATAGCTATATTTAATTACAAGACTCATGATTGACATTAATTCCGTACTGTGATTTAAAAGTGTTAACTTATCATGTTTTAAACCAGTTTTCAGAAGAATCAACAAGAGAGCGCAGTCGGTTTTTATAATCTCTTCGCTTACCTGAATCTGCTTACCTGAAGAGAGAAACCTGTTTTTACCACCCGCCACAGAGGTAAGTTTCCGATCACGATTTTTGAGTTTTGCCACGAGATTAAGACTTTGTTTGTGCTTTTCTGATTTCGAATCATACATGTATTTGTTTTAGATCGAATAATTATTAAAGCATGGATTGATATCATACGGTTTGTGGTGGTCGTCTGAGCTGACCAGATCCGAGTAAGGAAACACAGATGGCCTTAATTTTTAGGGCGGAATGGCGAGAAACGTTCTGTTTCTTCCAACTATTTCAACAACGTTTAACTACGATTACATTAATGGCTATTTGCTCTATCCGAATGGGGCTATACAAGCCCGCGTTTCTATCAGTGGTTATGTTCAGGCCACTTTTTGGACATCCCACGAGAGCCTATGGCACAGATCTTCATAAAGACCTCGCGGGAACAATTCAAAAAGTCCTGAATCTCACTTTAAAGAAAACCGAACAAAAAGTTATTTACGATCCTCTCTACTGCGAGGATCGTGCAGAAATAGCGCTGTCTAGTGCGAGGATCGTGCATCATACGTATCTAATACCGCAGTTCAAAATATATGAACTTCATATATTCATTGTAACCAAAAAGTTATTTATTAGCCCAGTTTCGATCATCCCAAGTAAATAAACTTCTTTAGTGACGACAATGCTAAAAACATAGGCGTGAATCGAGGGTACCGTATCCACATCTGGGCCATGATGAAACAGTTGTACCCAAAGGACTGGGGATTGTTAACAGGAGCCGCTTGGGGCTTGAACCAAATGACTGTCACTAAGCGAAAAGAAACCGAAAGACAAGCTCATCATTTTACAATCACTACAGTATGTACGATCCTGTTGTCGACTTTCAACGCTTCGTTGCCAACAACGAATCGATCGTAGACGAAGATCTAGATGCCTGAGTGCATCGCACAGAATGCCTATTGTTCTTGAGACATTTACTTGCAGTAGCGAAAAAATTATAGATCTGTAATTTTAGCTGCGAAACGTATTTTAGAGGGTTATCACTGGTCAAAGATCACTCGCGCATTCTTCCTCGAGGAATATTGGTTTAGCTCATTAACTTTTCAAGGCGGAGGTAAGAAACAATAGCTTGTAAAATTATTGTTTAAGCTGTTGTTATAAAAAAAAGTCACACATTACGTCCGTGTGTTTCAAGCTAGAATAGTGCTCGATTTTGAAACTGTTCGTTACATATTCATCGCTTCCTCTATCTTACTCAACAAAAACGTTCGTTCTATCATTTCCCGTTTAGGATTCGATTTTCGTCGGGAAAAACCACTCGCAATATTTTTCCATAATGGAAAGTACGTAATGGGTCACTTCAAGTCACTCTGACACTTGCTTCTTCTAAACAAAATGCAGCCACACGCTGTGTTAAGAATGAACTTACGCAGCGCTTAGTACGACTGCCTAAATAGGTCTTATTCGCTACTTGTGTGGGAGGCCGAGGAAGATTCACCGCTCATTTGAATTACATATACTGGATTGCTTTCCTCAAGGAAAGCTGGAACTACCTGTACAAGAATAGGGTCGATAGGGGATTCTATGAGGTCATTTTGCTTCGATCATTCATCATCGCTTGGTCTAGTGGTATAAATCAGCTGATGCACAAAGATCACCTTTAAAACAAGCGGTAATTCTTTTTTTTTTTTAAATGAGTGGTTTTCTTGAAAAGGCCATTGTTTGGTTTGACAGCCATAGTCATTCAAGCGTGGGCTGAGAACAATGGAGTACAACTCGAAACGCGCAATTTTCGTAAGGAACTTCGACAGGAAATTTTAAAGCTGTGAGAAATAGTGGTTGCCGTTCACTAATTTTCAAAGTCAAAACGGATTCTGTTTCAGGAAATCTCCAACTTACATTTTCCGCTCTTGGGTTTTTGGAAGCCGGTTTTAGTTTTTAAAAAACCGCTTTTGTAATCGGCCATCATACTAAAACTGTCCGTTTTTTCGGCATTTTGAAAGGCTCAGAAATAGTCCTTATACTTTCTTAAACATCCTATTTTTAAGCTTAAATTAAAGATAAACCCTTACTCTTCAAAAACCCGCTCTTAGGTTTCTCACTTATTGTTTTTGGCTATTAGGAAAACGATATTCCGAACACCGCGACGCCTGCTAACTCTGCCAGTTTCTACCTCTGGCTGTACAACTTCTTTGACGAAGATCCCTCGATGGCCTCCCATGATACTGTGTTCATTTCACCCACTGAAAATGGCGAGTTCGACACTATCCATTTGGAACTCCCGAGGGACCTGCGTGCGCAGCGAAAAGTAAGCCACTGAAGTGTAAAGGTGGTTCACAAAGAAAACCACGACAACAACAGTGACGACAAAGTCGCTAAAGAAAAGATTTAATGGGCAGAACAATGGCGTGCACATGTGATATAATATTTGTAAATTTCTTTGTCCTCAGCAAATCAACAGTGTAAAATGACCAAACTTTGTTTTGTCGGGGGAATGTGAACGGCGACGGCTAATTTTTTTTCAACTCTCTGTTTCAAATTTAACGCTTTGTTCCCTTTTAGGTTTCGAGTAAGTTTTGACAGTGAGAAACAAAGAAAATGACTTTTGAGTATTGCGAGATTTAAGTTTCGAGTAAGTTTTGACAGTGAGAACAAAGAAAATGACTTTTGAGTATTGCAAGATTTGTAGGTAAAATGAAAGCTAATGTTTCACTTTATTTTTACCGACGTTGTGCACGGCATCGTCGTCGTCGTTTGCTAAGCTCCCTTACGACACTTACAGAGGAACGGCGCATTGATGTAGCTTTCAGAATTGTTTGATTCATTTGTCGCACATTATCTGGTACTTTTAACCCCAGCCTGTTCTCAGAGGTCTGTTCTTAGGACCTGTTTGTCGAAAATTCCTTTAGTCACGGCTCAGGAGAAGCTGATTTTGTAAGTCGCGTTTTCATTCAAGATCGTTCTATGAATAACTTTGAAATTCAAAGAGTATAGATCTAAGGAAGTGAAACAGATTAGACCGAGAGATCTTTTGGCTAGACTGATTTTTGAGCTTAGATCCACACTTACATCTTTAGACTATAATTTTAGAGGCTCCAAAGTAGAAAATAAAGAAGGCGGAAGCCTGGATCAGGTTGTCTGTTCGTTCTGTCCTTAAGCCTCCTGTAAGATCTAAGCGTTTTATAATTATTTTTTGTGTAATTCTTATTTAGGTACTTCGTCCTTTATTTTATCATTCCTCTTCGTTAGTGTTTTTTCTTAAGTTTGTTAACGTGTTCCTTCCTCGGTTTCATCTTTTTTGCGCGTTTTTCATACTGCAAGTTATTAAACTAATTTTTTCGGTTTCTGTGTGGTATACACTAAAACGATTGTTTACCTCAGTGTGGGTAAAAGTGTTAATATCCACCTCCAATGATAATTGCAATTATTAAAAACTGGATCATTGGATAATGCAATTCAAGAATTTTAATTAATTGGCTTAGCAATTATAGTATATGAGCCAATATACCATAATCAACAAATTTGGTAAGCGAACGCGTCAGCTTAAAATTAAAAGGGAGCTAAAATTTAATAAAATTGAATAACTTAATTTAACGTTTTTAATAAAACAATTATTCCACTTGCACTTCTTGGATATGGGATGTTTATAGCCAACTCGGCGCTACGCGCCTCGTTGGCTTTATATCATCTCATATCCAACCCGCGCTCGTGGAATAATTGTTAATTATTCCAGTAACAAAAATGTCTATCCCACTACAAAAGCGTCCATCAATAAAATTTTTCTCCGTGCAGTTTTTTTCCCAATGAATTTTTAAATAACGCATGAGTACCTTCCTAGAAGTACACATCATGGCCGCTACGCGCCTCGTTGGCTATCCATCATCTCATATCAAACGAGCGCTCGTGGAATAATTGTTTCCTTGCTTGAAATAAACAAGCGCGCTTTGTCGCGCGCACAAGAAAGCAGTCCAGGCAAGACTGTAATAATTGGAGCATCTCATGTTGCTCAGGAATGTGCAGGGATTTTAGCCGAGATCAAGCTTGAAGTAACTGTTTTGGTGCGATCCATTCTCTTAACCCTTTACACCCCTAAGATCAGTATGCATATTATCCATACTGTTCTCTATACATTTCCTAATATACTTACAAGGAGAATTTGTTTAACAATCATAAGGTTCTTCACTTGGGGATCATTACTTTCATTCTCGTGACCTTCATGTGTGATTTATGGGTGATATTGTAAGGAGAAATCAGATGTTGGTCACGTGCTCACTCACCGGAGTTAAAGGGTTAATCATTCGTCTCATTATGTGGGTTTTCCAGTTCGATGTCAGTAGCCAAGGAACTGCGCACCCTCCCCTTCCTTAGTCCATGCTTCTCTCCCAAAGTCAAAGGCATAAGTATAGAGTTATTGACTGCTGCTGTTGTAGAATCAAACTTAAATTTGATTAGCACCTCGTGGGAGGGTGGTGCTAATGTCACGTGTTAATTTTATTTTTGTAGCAAATGCCGGAGTTAATTAGTAATGACTTTATCAACCATGAAATTAAAATCAAAAGACCAGCAATTCTACGGAGGTATGTACGCGTAGCATTTGAGAAGAAGCAGCATTTGTTGTCGTGTCTGTAGTTCTCGTCTTCATTCCTAATCTGTCCATTAGAAGAGCAGATCACACTTGATACCCTAGGATAACTTCCCCAAATACATTTGAAGCCGGTTATTTAAACAAAGTTTAACCATTGTTGAACAAAAGTGCGTTCTAAACTATCAAATAAATAAATGAATCAATCAATACGTAAATTGAAGGTCCCCCACAGGGTCTTCTCAGCCACAATGTAGACTAAGTGCGTAAAAATCCCCACAGGCAGGAGGCAGAACAATGGGGGAACTTGAGGCAACTGAGAACAAATCAAGTGAGTGGCAGGGTGGAAGACTTGAGCCTGGGACACCTGATTACAAGTCCAGCACCCTAACCACTCGCCACGGCTCCTCCTATCTTTAAACTAGCCAAACCTTTTACCTGAACATTTGTTTTTGTAAACAGTGTCAAAGAGGCCGAAAGCTAGCAGTGGAAAAACATTTACTTAGTTAAAACAATTCTCTTCTAGAGAATACATGAAAACGAAAAACTGTGTCGTGAAAGTTATCAAGTACTGTACTGATACAGTGACAGACAGCAGCACCAGAACAACCGTAGACCAGACTTTTAGCAGCACAGAATGTTTTGATGGCCCCCCTCTCATACCAAGTATTACCTTGTCTCAGATTTCTCGTCACTAGAGCTAACGGCTGGGGAAAGCCTTCCGGCAAATAATCGTCACGGACAAATCTTTTTACGTGAATTTTTGCAGTCGATCTGCCTTTTATACATTAAGCTGAATCAAATATACACTCGTTCTGATTGGTTCCTTCTTATGATGTAAACGCATGGATGATGTCACTTTTAACAGCTATTCTTCGTTATGATATAAAAGAAACAGATTCCATGACGCCGTGTGTTTACTCAGTAGTAGAACCTAGAACAGGTCAAAATGGGGTCAAAACATCAGTGACACACACAGCTGCACCTTGTGTACTACTTATTTTATCGTTTACTGAATATACGCAAGGCATCATCGAATATATTTGCTCGTATTTGTTCAAATAGATAAACTGATAGAGATAATTGATGAGGACGTGGCTATTGAACAAAGAAAAACGTCACTCCCTCGTCTTTAAGGCAAGGGAAAAATAATTGATTCCTTTGGAGAATTTGAGAATTGACATTACATTTCAACAGGTGAGAAAATGTAGAAAATCTTGTTGAGACAACAATCGAAACATTATTCCCTCGACTTTCTCTAAAATTGATTTCGACAGAAATTTAAATCCACCATATCATATGCATATCATCACCATGTCGAGAAAGTATTTTGCCGCCTCCCAGTTTGCTCAATGTTAAGAGCGCTGAACTGTTGTGCGGGAATTCGAGAGTTCGAGCCCAGGCCGGACCAACACTCAGGGTCTTAACATAATTGAGAAGAATTTGCTACCTTTCTATAACATCAATAAATGGTTAGATATTCTAGTGTTCTCGGATAGGGACGAATAAATGGAGGTCCCGTCTTTTGTAGGGTTAGGGGCAGGAGACGTTAATTTCCCACGCACGAGATTACTGTGTGATGGATGTCCTCCCCTGGGGTGGGATGGGTGGGTTTACCAGGCCCGCAGTAATTGGCACAAGCTGTTGCGGTGTCCCTGCCAGTCGGCGAAGCTTAATAAATTTTGAATTAAAATTTCAGCAAAGAAATAATAACAATCCGAAATAGTTGGAAAAAAGGGCAAATGAGAACGCTTTTCGGTTAAGTATTACATGATCATTATTCATTTTGATAATAATCCAATTAAACAACAAATCGAGAAAGTATTTTATATAGACCCTGTAAGCTGTCTAAAATGCACGAGCAGAAAAACGCCAATAAGTGGGTGGCCCAGGTTTTACCGAAGAGATTTAGCTTAGCTTTTTTAAACCGAGACATATTGACAACGATGCTGTCTCACATCCAAAATTGCACCAAATAGGAAAGCAAGCATAAGTAGAAGTTGCGTCAGAGTGAAGTCCCATGAAGTTTCGTCAGAGTTTTCAATTTCAGAAATTGTTGTTGTTGGAGTATCATACCTAAAGTACGATCGCAGTGTCTTACCTATAAACTGCTATCGCCCTCCTGACAATTACCAACAATTTATTCAGCATTTCGCTGGCTTTCTATTTAAGATCTTTAGATTTTCATCATCATGATCACTACTTTGTTATGGCAGTAGGGGGAGTACTGCATCAAACAAAGCCTACGGACTTTATTCATGTGCAGTTCGTCTTTTGAAGTCCGCACGTCAAGCTATATCTCATACCCTAGCTGAATTCATGAACATGTCTATTTCAATTGGTATCTATCCCCACAAATTAAAACATGCTATATTAATTCCAATGTATAAAGCGGATGATGAAACTGACTCAAACAATTATCGCCCAATATCGTTACTGTTCGTGTTTAGTCGAATATTCGGAAAACTAATGTTCAAACACCTAAACTCTTTTATAAATAAGAATGATATATTTTTTACATCGCAATATGGATTTAGAGAGAGCTGTCAACTCAACATGCAATTCTGGATATTCTAAATAAAATTCAAAACAGCATTGATTAAAAAGTTATATTCCTGTGGCACTTTCATTGACTTAAAAAAGGCCTTCGACACGGTTGATCATTCGATTTTGTTGCATAAGTTACACCATTATGGAATTAGAGGATTGATCAATTGTTAGCTCAA